GTGTCTACATTTGTCCGTTCTGGCTTTGGGCTCTGTTGTTTATAAGATGGGAACAAGACACCCTTTAGAGATGATGATGATGTTGATGATGATGATGATGATTTCAAGCCATGTTGCAGATCTCTTATTAATATCAAAGAGTTGGCTGTCCAAATGTGTTTTAGATCCCAAATGTGCTGTGAAATGGGGTTGGTTCTTTTGGGGTACCACGTAAGAGTTAGCTCACCTTGGGCTGGGGAAATGGCTCAGTGAGTACAGTGCCTGCCATCCATGCCTGATGACCTTTGTTCAGATCCGTGAGCCCATGTGGAAAAGCTGGATACAGTGATATCCAACTGCTATCTCTCTTCTCCTGCAGATGGGTGGGAGGGAAAGACAGCAACCACCCCTGCTCCTACTCTGGCAACCCGGAAGCCTGTGGGACTGCTAGTCTGCAGAAAGCAGAAGACAGATCCTGTCCCAAACAAGGTAGAAAGTGAGGACCGTACATGAGGTTATCCTCTTACCTCCACACAAGCCCTGTGACAAGCATACGCCCTCATACACAAACATATACATGCATACATGCACCATGCACACGCATATACAGAAAGATAAATAAATGTGCTAAGAGTTGGTTGACAAGAGCCTTGAGTGGATCTCTAACTCTACTGAAAGTAAAAAAAGCAGCTAAGGCATAGATGTGTCACTTGTCATACCCACAACTTCCCTGACAGCTGTAATTGTTTCATCTGAAGCGGGAATGGGATAGGCAGGAAAAGCCTTCTAGCGAATGCTATTTCAGCACACGTGGCCCATTACATGCTAGGTGGTCTCTGGAAACACAAAATCAGAGTAAAATGGTCAAGTAACCATCACCCAAGTAAAGCTCACAACATACTCACAGGGATCCTAGAAAATATCCCAAAGAAGCCAAGCATGGCGGTCCGCACTTATAGAATCCCCCCACACACACACTTGGGAGTTAGAGATGGGGTGCTAAGAGTTCACGATCATCTTTATACTGAGTTCCAGACCAGCCTAGTTTCTAGGACCCTGTCTCAAGACCACGAATTTAAAAATTAAAAATAAAAGAGAACTCACTGGTGGTGAGCTGACTCAGCATTGCAAGCTCCTTGTGAAATCTGAGGTTGTCCTCTAAGACCTGTACTCAGGTTCAGTCGGGCCCTTGACTTACACTGCAGAAAACCAATCCTAGCCTGTGAGGGGCTGTAGTTGAGTCAATATGAAGCAAAGTTGGAGTTTACTAAGCAAAGAGTTCATATCCACAGAGAGCAGAGCACAGGCATGTAGGGAAGAACAGGGGTGGATGCCTTAACAGTAACCAACCCAGGCGCTGACAGGCCACATGTGCCTGCAACCACAGAGATGGAGGATACAGATGGGCAGATCCTGAAAACATCCTGGCAAACCAGTCTAGTCAGACAGACTGCGCATGTACATACACACACATACCAGGGTAGGGGGGGGGAGGCAGAGGGAGAGGAACAGAGAGAAAGAGAGAGAGAGAAAGAGAGAGAGAGAGAGAGAGAGAGAGAGAGAGAGAGAGAGCAGTAGTGGCATTCTTCAAAGAATGTAATCTAGAAGTTTAAAGATTAAAGAATTCTTACTATACACAGGGCACAGAATAATAAGACATATTTTGCTCTTAAACATGGCGGATTAGCTGTTTTAATAACCCTGTTTATGATTCTTTAAGAGAGTACAGTTCCTAGAGACTTGTGGGATTTGATCAGTTGTGTCAAATTTCTTGACTCTTAGCCAATGGGACATGTAAACTTGATCCAAGAGCATGGGGCTTTTTCCTTTCTCTTGTCCCCTTAATTCTGGCTTCCTATCTTGCCTTAATTATAATGTTTGATGAAATGAAGTGTTGTCTGAGCCTAGGATTGCAAACAAAGCCAATTAACATCTTTAAACTTGTTTTTTTTACTTCTGACAGGATAGACCCTTATCATGGGGTCTGAGTTTGCACCAAGAGGACAAGGTTGCTTCTCTTTGACAGACTCTGGTCTCCACAGCAATTCAAAAAAGGGAGAGAGAAAGACTCAGTGAAATGGAGGTTCATGCCACTTTCCTTATGCCTCTCAGTCCCTTCACCTTCCCCAGTCCCTCCTCCTCATTACTAAAACCCAGGGAGTATCCCTTCACACCTTCAAATAAAAATACTCCACACAGTATAGCAGCCCAACTCCTAACCCTGACATCCCATGCCTGCCTGCAAGGGCTGCCACCAGCTGCCACCAGCTGCCACCAGCTGCTGTTGAGACTGCACCTCCTGCTGGCTTCCCATGCACACCACCATCATCCCATCCCCTTGCTCTTCAGATTCACGCACTCACCACCCAGGTTGGAAGCGTCTACATGGATCAGTGCTCACTCAAACACCCGATTTTTCTCTTGTCACGTTAGTCTAGCATCTTCCCAGTCGCTATCTGAGCAGAGACCTCCCAGCTCCACAGCCCGCTCTCCCTGCTTCCCTAACGCCCGCCATACCCCCCCCATACCATTGCTTCATAGCTTTGACATATTTTATACTAACATCAATTTGTCCAATTTCTCTCGTTGGAAGAGAAGGTCTCTGAGCTAGGCTGTTGGCTCTCTTGCTACCTCTCTGGCAAATGGGGTCTCCAACACAGTCATCAACATAGGTTGAGTTTGTCCCTTTACCAAGGGGACAGAGGAAAAGGAGAAATGTCAGTTACCCTGCAGTAGCGGAAAGCTTTGGAAGATGTTGGTGGTTCATTGCCTGTAGAACTCGGGATGAGGTCAGGTTTACAGCACATCATCTAGAATTAGTGGGCAAGTGGGCTTTGGATGGGACATGGATTACAGGTGAAGCAGACCAACAGAAGTTGGTCTGAGATGCTGAGATTGCAGCATGAGATTCTACCCTGTTGACTTTCACCGACTTTGGATGCCCCAGTCACAAGGTCAGATGCAATTCTAGGGTTACCTAAGAGCTTTGTGATGACCTCCTTGTCTCTGAACGGATCAGGGAGGGACTTTGAGATATGTCCCATCAGAGGAATCTCTTTTTTTTTTTTAATTTTTTTTTTTATTTATTATATGTAAGTACACTGTAGCTGTCTTCAGACACCCCACAAGAGGGCATCAGATCTCATTACAGATGGTTGTGAGCCACCATGTGGTTGCTGGGATTTGAACTCAGGACCTCTGGAAGAGCAGTCAGTGCTCTTAACCACTGAGCCATCTCACCAGCCCCAGAGGAATCTCTTACTTGCTGTAAGGGAACCTCAGAACCAGGCTGGGGAGGTGGGGCGCTCCTGACTCTGCATAGGAAGAGTAAGAGCAATAGATTGAAACTGTGACAAGTTAGGTACACTTCTGTCCCAAAGGTTCTGGGTATGTCATCTAAGGAATACAAGGGCATCCTCCCAGGGTTTGGAATGAGACTGTGTGTATGATGTGGCCCTAAACAAGAAGAGGGAGCTAGATGGCACTGGGAGGGGAGGCTAGAGGGAGAGCTTGGGAGAGATGTGGGGGTGAGGAAGTGAAGACTCAAGTGGATATGTCCAGGAAAAAGAAAAGAATACAAACAAAGAACCTTAGAGTAGGAAATGTGGGGGAACATCAAGACATAACAGAACTGGGAACGAAAAGTAGACAGCGCAATGGAAATGAAACGACGGCTCTGGGGCCAGTGAATCTCTTGAACTCAGAGAAGAGAGCAGGGAGAGGTGGAATAGTGGCTGTTTGGCTCTATTCCTGGGATCTATTATCACCAGGAGCCCTGCCCTATTTCCGGCTCCTCAGGGCAGGACTCCCTAGCTATCTGGGATGAGTTTTCAGTCCCAGATGGCGAGCCTGCAAGGAAAGGGGCGGATGCTCTGAATTCCCGACTGCAGGTCATTAAGGACTGATACTGCTTATTCTAGCTCCTCCCTAGGCTCCGCTCCCTCTGCTGGGAAGGTCCTGATGACTCGGGGATCACAGGACTAGTCTAACAGGGTCTCAAGTACTAGGACTTAGGGGTCAGTTCTGGGGACCTTAGATCCAGAGGAAATCAGTCTTGGATGGAAAGGACCTAAAGAAAGAAGAAATCTACAGCATTATCTGAGGTATTTCAGACCTAAGGAGAGAGACAGATCATTCTGGTGATCTATAACCATGGTACCTGGAGGTCCTGAGGGTCCAAATCCTGAAGTATTCACAGAGGAGAACTTGTATAAACTCTGTCCCTCAGCTTCGCACATGCTCATTGGACTGCCTACCTGTAGTCCCAGGTTTCCCTTCTCAGAGAAAAAAGATTTGAGAAGGATCTGGACTGAGGATGGACTGATGTAGGGATGAAGGAAAGACAACCTAGGCACAGAAAAGTATTAATCACAGCAGACTTTGTGGTATAGGTGTTCACTATTTAATTCTTTAAACTTTATAATTGGATTTTTTGAAATATAATATCAACAAATAGAGAAAAGTTATCAGGCGAATATTTGGCACTGCTCAGAATTGAAAGTGATTTTGTTTTCAGAGAGATGTATCACAAATGACTGGAGAGGGTTAACAGTTACCTGGGGTCAGTTCTTGGGACTCGGGCGAGGACTGATTCTGGGGAAGAATACCTACAGATCTTCAGGCCTCTTGGATCACATTCTCATTTGTTTGTTTGGGTTTTCAGACCAGACTTCATCTATAGCCCAGACTGGCCTTGAACTCATGATCCTCCACCTCGACCCACCCCTCAAATGTTGGTATTACAGACATGCGCCACCATGTCTGGATTAATTACAGTCTTTAAATACTAACTGCTTTCTCTACCCTTGGGATGGACTTCTAGCAAATTGTCTCTTCACAAATCTGGCACTTTTTCTAGAGTGGACCCCACCTTGTCACCTGTAACCCTTGAGGGAGAGGCAGGATAAGATGTTCCAGACCTGCTTGACACCTGACCCTAAGAAGCTGGTCATGTTTGCTCAGCAGGTGAGGTTCACATGATAAAGAACAGTGGGAGGACTTGGACCTGGTATATAAGCTCTGGAAATTTCTAGAAGATTAGCATCTGCAACTTCTAGGGGAAAGGTGAGTTGGGAGATACTCAAATAGGAGGTAGAAAAGACTATGCCAGGATGGTAACAGGGGAGACGGAGGCATCAGCTCCTGGATGTGAGCTGTTTGGGAATGCAAAGATGTCTGGGTTTGGCTAAGGGATGCTTGGGGGGGGGTGGATATTGACAGCTGTGGCTAGAAGAGACAGGGTTATGGACACAGACACACAGTGCCCAGGATCTGATGTCTTGAGCTCACACATATCCCTCTATCAGCCTCTCTCAGTGCCACCAGCTCTTCTCAGACCCTGTCACGTGTACAGTGTCTTCTGTCATCTGTGTCTGCCCAAGATGACACAGAGGCACCTCTAAAATCTTCTTTGCCTTGATTTAAGTGTAGAATGGTGCTAGAGACTTAACTGTGCCTCAGACACCTCATAGGCCAGCTGACTTCAGGTAGGTTTTGCTCAGATTCTTGGCTCATCAACTCAGCTGCCTCAGGACTCTGGAGATAGCCTTTATTTCCTCTTCAGAAAGCTCTCTTGTGCATTGTGCTGGGATGGAGGCAGGCTTGACTCAGCTTGACAGAGACAGAAAGTTAGGGTTATCTTTTGGATTTGGAGAGACGAGTAGCTATAGCCACATCAAGGAATAAGCCTTCTTTTTCTCCTCCTTCCCACCACAGCCTCAAGATGTTGGCCATCGCCCTCTTAGTCCTTCTTTGTGCCTCGGCATCTGCTAATTCCAGTAAGTGAAATGCCACAGGGAGGCCGTGGGAAGGCAGCCCGTGTACGGCTACTGCCCAGGATTGTCACTGGCTTGGGTGGTGGGAGGAAGGAGGGTAATGGGGAACAGCTGTGCTCCCAGACAATATGTCCCTCCAGGCCTTTCTTTCCCTTCTAGTTCAGTCCAGGTCCTCCTCTTTCAGTGGAGAGTATGGAGGTAAAGGAGGAAAGCGATTCTCTCATTCTGGCAACCAGCTGGACGGCCCCATCACTGCGCTCCGTATCCGTGTCAGCAGAAACTTCATAGTAGGGTATGAGTCTCTGTGTTTCTGTATGTTGGGGTCTGTCCAGGACCTTGCTAAGTTAGAAAGTTCTCATTGACTGGATCACACCTGTGCACATGACCTTGACAAGTTGTAATTACAAACCCCCAGGAGCCTCACTTTACCTGGGTTGGATTTTACTTTCGGTCTAAACCTATTTCCAGTATTTCTGTCAGGCATCCTTTATCTTTGCTTGTTGTCTGCCCTAGAATAGTCCTATCCCACCCTCCAGCTGGAAACTTCCAACACAGGAAGAGCCAAATGTATTTCCTTCTGGTCCATGTTCTGCTCCATGAGACAGTTGTTGGCTTGTCTCTTCCCTGTCTGGCCTGGGCAGACTTCTGGTGTTTGAAATCCTCAGGCCTCTTTGAAGTGTGTATTGTGGGCAAACTCAGACTCTTGTTGTCTAAATGACTCTGAGAAACTGACTTTCATTCTACAAGCCTATTTGCCATCAAAACAAGAGGTTGATTCTCTGCATGGTCTCCCAGGGCTTGTGCAGCCTTTATAGCATATGGAATTTGTCACCAGTCTAAAGATCTCAGCATGTAGACTAAAAAGTCTTGATTTTATTTGTTTAAAGATTTATTATATTTACATGAATGCACTGTAGCTGTCTTCAGGCACATCAGGAGAGGGCATCAGATCCCATTACAGATGGTTGTGAGCCACCATGTGGTTGCTGAGAATTGAACTCAGGACCTCTGGAAGAGCAGTCAGTGCTCTTAACCTATGAGCCATCTCTCCAGCCCAGAATTTGTTTTTCATTTATTTATGTTATGTTGGTGTGCACATGTGTGTGGGGGTGCTCAAATGCCTCACTGTGCATGTCGAAGCCAGAGGGAGTGGGGTTCTCTCCCTCCACATGTGGGTCCTAGGGGTTGAACTTAGGTTGTCAGGAAGCATCTCTACCAGCTGAGCCATCTCAGCAGCCTGGTCTCGAATTTCCATAATCATTTCCGATGTGTTTCTTCTTCTCTTCTCACCCCTGCCTCCAGTCTCCAGGTGCGCTATGGCACAGTGTGGAGTGACTATGTAGGTGGCAAATCTGGAGAACTGGAGGAGATCTTTCTGCACCCCGGGGAATCTGTGATCCAGGTGACTGGAAGGTACAAATATTATATGAAGCAACTGACCTTCGTGACAGACAAAGGCCGCTACCTGCCTTTTGGAAAAAACTCAGGCACAAGTTTCACCGCTGTTCCCTTGCACCCCAACACTGTCCTCCGTTATATTAGTGGCCGATCTGGCTCTGTCATAGATGCTATTAGCCTGCACTGGGATACCTACCCTAGCCAGTGCAACACTTGCTGAAACCCACCTTCCTCTCTGGCAGGGGTGCTGTGGTGGGTGTGAGAACTCCCTTATCACCAAGCCCCAAGCAAGCATGGAAATGGCTTAATAAAAGGATATGGTTAAAGACAGTGTTTTTTCCACATCCTAATTCTAGTACAAATGTGTGAATCTTATTTCTGGATTTTTAAAAAATTAAATAAAAATAATGTTTTTGAGACAGGGTCTCCCTACACAGCCCTGGCTGTCCTAAAACTCACAGAAATTGACTTGTCTCTGCCTCTACCTCCAGAGTGCTGGGGTTAGAGGGGTGTGCCACTACACCTGGCTAATTATCTGGCTACTGTTGAACATTAAACTGAGGAAATGGGAGGATGAAGAATAGAAGTGCTAGGGGCTTTCTTTTTTTTTTCTTTTTCGTGTGTGTGTGTGTGTGTGTGTGTGTGTGTGTGTGTGTTAAGAGAAGGTTTCTCTGCGTAGCCCTGGCAGTCCTGGAACTCACTCTGTAGATCAGGCTGGCCTTAAACTCAGAGATCCACCTGCTGCTACCTCTCAAGTGCTAGGATTAAAGGCAGGTGCCATCACTGCCTGTTGGGGCTTTTCTTTATATCAAAAAGAGACAATATTCTGCCTACACTGGCTCTTTCAAAGAATAACCCCTGAGAATTTTTCCTAATAGTTCAGAGGCTAGGGTAAGACTCAGTTGCACCAACTTGCTAAAACTGTCTCAAAAAACAAAACAAAACAAAACAAACAAACAAACAAACAAACAAAAACAGGAGAAATTCTAAGTGAGCCATAGTGGTGCACTATAATTAAAAATTTGAGAGGCTAGGCTAGTCTGGTCTACATAGCAAGTTCAAGGGTTACATACTGAGATCCTAAGTAAGAGGCTTAAAAGGAGGAAGAAAGATTGTCACAGGTTTAAGGCCAGAATGGGAGCATAGTGAATTCCAGGCTAATCTTGAATACAGTGAGACCCTGACCCAGACACCTGAATACATGAATAAATAGATAGGCAAGTCCTATCTGTTCTGTGACTTTGAGTCTTTATTATGGGTAGTCATGAATGTAAGGGGTTGGTGAGATTAAGGGTCACTAGAGAGTCAGCAAAGATATAAGTCACTTTGAAAATAATTATTAGGATCCCAGTTTCAAGTCCTAGAATATGAACAGTTTAGTGGGTAGCAGTAGAGGGTTATTGAAGTCTGGGATTACAAAAGTGTGCTACCACACCCCGTTTTTGTGATGCTATGTGGACATTCTATCAACTGAACCATGTCCCCAAATGTCCTTTCTTTTAAACAGTTACAAGGAGGAGATTATGCCATTGTTTTAATATATTTATATGTAAATCACATAACACAAAATCCACTCCTTTAAAGGATGCAGTTTGGGTGGGAATATAGTCTGTGGCATGTGTGTACATGTAATGTGTGTGTGTGTGTGTGTGTGTGTGTGTAGACAGGTACACACAGCTGTGCACATGTGTACATTGAAAGATCATAGTCATCACTATGTCCCCTATCAGTCTCCATCTTAATAGTTTTGAGGCAGGGTCTCTCATTGAACATGAAGCTCAACGTTTTAGTGAGGCTAGCTGCCCAGAGCCCTCCCAGAATCTCCTTGTTTCTGCTCCCCACCGCTGTAGTTAGACATTTGAATGGCCATGCCTGGTTCTTATGGGGTACTAGAGATTTGATTCCACTCCTGTTGCTATCACAGCCAGTGTTCTTATCCCCGAACCATCTCTCCAGCCCCACATGTTAGATTTTTGCAAAAAAAAAAAAAAAAAAGGTATTTGAAGAAATGTTTAATTTACTTAAAAAAAGGTTTGGTCACTGGAGAGATGGTCCAGCAGATTGCTCTTACAGAGGACCTGGATTCAGTTCTCTACACCCAAATGTAGTGTCCATACAGACATACAGGCAAAACACTCACACACATTAAATAAAATAAATAACACTTCATATGGTGGAATACATCTTTAACACCAGCACTGGGGAGGCAGAGTCAGGTAAACCTTTCTGAGTTTGAGGCCAACCTGATCTACATAGTAAATTCTAAGACCGCCAGAGCTACATGATTTGGGGGCATACAGCTCTCAGTTTGACCCCCAGCACTACATAAAACAAGGTCTAGCTCCTCATCATGTTATTCTTGATTTTTGGTTGGCCCCTTCACCACCTTCTCCATCATACAGCTCAGAACCGAGAAAAGGTAGCCTGTGAAGAAGGTAACTGGGCTGTTAGATGATACACACTTCAGAAAAGACCTACTGGCTAGCAGAGTTGAGGCCACCATGGCCAAGGTGGCAGCGGTGCTGGTATGGAGGGTGACCCTGCGGTTGCAGAAGTGCAGACACCGCACTGTTGGAGCTGATTGGCCTCAAGGTGTGCTGCAAAGGCATGGTGAACAATTGCACGCAGATTTCCCAGAGAGTAGAGTGTCTTTCGGTTATTGGAGTGGCGATTTGGCAAATGTTGATATTTTCTAACACAAGCTTGAAATTTTGCTTTTTTTTTTTTTTTGGTTTTTCGAGACAGGGTTTCTCTGTGTAGCCCTGGCTGTCCTGGAACTCACTCAGTAGACCAGGCTGGCCTCGAACTCAGAAATCCACCTGTCTCTGCCTCCCAAGTGCTGGGACTAAAGGTGTGGAAATTTTGCTTTTAAGGACAAGTACAACCATTTCTACATAGAGTTAAAGAGATAGTTTTGCAGTTTTGTTTAGTTTTTGCTTGTTTTTAATGAACTTCGATGTGGTGGTTTGAATGAGAACGGTGTCTATAGCCTCATATATGTGAATACTTAGTTATGAGGGTGTGGCACTATTTGAAAGGATTAGAAGGATTAAGAGGTATGGCCTTTTGTTAGAGGATGTGTGTCACTGAAGGTGGGCTTTGAAATTTCAAAAGCCTTTGCCATCCTTCCTCTGTCTATAGATCAGAATGTAGTTCCTAGTATCTACTTGCATGCTTCCATGCTTCCTGCCGTGGTGTAACGGACTAAACCTCTGAAACTGTAAGCAGGCCCCCAATGAAATGCTTTCTCTTATTAAGGTTGTCTTGGTCATGATGTCTCTTCATAGCAACAGAACAATGATTACGACAGTGGTTCTGGTGGACTGCTGGGCAACAAGCTTAAGTGTGGAGAATTCACTGGGCTTTGCTTGAATTCTTTTAGGTGCTGATATTGGAAAAGTCCTGCAGAACAATTTAAGGGTTTAGAGTGCTGTATAGTAAACACAGCAAAACCAGATGGAATTACTGACTTATAAATATCAAGTTTAGTGTTTCAGTTTAGTGCACCAATGCTCACCAAGCCTCTTATTTTGGAACTTACACTGTACTAAGGGCTTGTTGTCAGCACCAAAGGAAACCCTATTCTTGTCTCCGTGGTCACTGTTCAATAAGAGTGTTTACGTGTGCACAGCTATGTGCAGTGGAACACTCTTATTCTTTTGACATAGAAAATGTGGTGCTGCAGAGTGGAGAATTGGAATCATTTCGAGAAAACACACCTATACAAAGGAACTGTTACATTTTCCCATGATGTCTTCTTCAACATCCTTCCTACATGGTACAGGGAGTGATTTCATGTCTGTTGCTGCTACATGATAAATTTGAAGAATTATTTAATATTGGTATTAGAGGTCAGAGGTGGTTCATCAAGTTAACTTGAGAAAGGTGTTCATTGAATTCACGAGACATACAAATTACACAGCTTCCATGTATATATTTTGATGGTGTGTTGTCACTATCAATATTTCTTGAGAGATTGTTCGGAATTCTAGCAGGAGAGCAGAGTTATTCTCTAAACCCTTGGCTGGAGACTGGTCCTCATCTGTTCATGAAGGTCATCCTCTTCAACCGAGCATGAGGGAACACACACGGAGCAGTGGTGGAGGAAAGGGACACTGGCTGATCAATAGAGTGACGATGCAGGCAGATTGTCTTCACAGCCTATTGTCAATATTCCTTTTTTAAAAAAAATTTATTTATTTATGTATTTATTTTATGTATGTGAGTGTTCTATCTGCATGTACACCTGTGTGCCAGAGAGGGCATCAGATCCCATTATAGATGGTTATGAGCCACTATATGGTTGCTGGGAATTGAACTCAGGACCTTTAGAAGAGCAGTCAGTGTTCTTAACAGTTGAGCCATTTCTTCAGCCCCTTGTCCATATTTCTTTTTTGTTTGTTTGTTTGTTTTTGTTTGTTTGTTTTGTTTTTCGAGACAGGGTTTCTCTGTGTAGCCCTGGCTGTCCTGGAACTCACTCTGTAGACCAGGCTGGCCTTGAACTCAGAAATCCACCTGCTTCTGCCTCCCAAGTGCCGGGACTAAAGGCATGCACCACCACTGCCTGGCTTTTGTCCATATTTCTTAAAGTGCTAATTCTGAAATAAAGCAAAAGCTCTTGTCAAGGATTTAAATATTAAAAGTAAGGGAAATATAGGTATCTTATTTAGCTTTGTCAATTTGACATAGCCTAGAGTCATCTGATAGGAAACCCTCCATTGAGAAAATACCTAGATCAAATAAGTCCATTGTATGTCTGCAGATAGGGAAGTCGCTGGATTGTTAATTGGTGAAGGAAGTTCCCAGCCCACTGTGAGCAGCACCATCCCTTAGCAAGTGTTCCCATGCTGTTTCAGAACACTGGTTAAGCATGAGCCTGAGTGAGCCACCTAGCCAGTAGCATCCTCCATAGCCAGTAGCATCCTTCATAGTTCTAGCCAGTAATATCCTCCATAGGTCCAGCTGTACATTCTTGGCTGTGAGGAAGTCCCCTGGGCTTCAGGTCCTGTCTTGAGTTCCTGCACTGACTTCCCTCAAGGAAGGACTATGAGCTGGAAGTAGCAAAGACCAGCTACAGGGTCTCACTCAGTCCTCCTAATGCCAGTACGAGCCATCACCCCTTCCTCCTCTAAGCTGCTTTAAGGCAGAATGTTTTGTCACAGCAAAAGAAAGAAAATTATTACAATGGGGTTTCTTGCCAATTAGACCCAGAATCATTTAAGAAGACATTTTATTTATTACAGTGTGTGTTGTTTCTGCTATATAATTCTTTTTTTTTTTTTTTTTGGTTTTTCGAGACAGGGTTTCTCTGTGTAGCCCGGGCTGTCCTGGAACTCACTCTGTAGACCAGGCTGGCCT